AAGCGGCTGGGCTCTGCCGTCAGTTTCTCCGTGAGGCCGAATGCTCTCCTCTGTGTTATGCTACTTTTGTGTTTGATGGATTGTACTTAGGTTGGTGCTTTCCGGGATGAAACCTTCTTTGGTATTTAAAAGGTAGATTTTCCTTCTATGGTTACGTGTTTGATGGTTAATCATAGAGGAAAATCCACGTTTTCAGTATCAAATGCTGCCTTGGGATCATGGCTGGACGGAAGCCACCAGCTGGGACGTGAGGTGGGGCTGAGCCCTCCAGGGTAAGTGGAAAGATGGTGGGCCGCAGAACATGTGCTGAGTTCGTGCCATATGTCTGCTGACCATCACCTTTAGAAGCCCCCTTTCGCTGAGGAGCCAGCTTGGCACACAGGCTGTGGTGTGTTGTCACGGCTACGCCATGGGACTGAAAACGGTTGCTTTGCTGTCTTGCTTCCATTTTCCATGAACTGCGTTCAGATTTGTCCTTTCCAGAGCCCAGTCCTTCTTTGGTATTTAAAACGTGGATATTCCTTCTATGTTTACGTGATTCCTGGTTAATCATAGAGGAAAATCCATGTTTTCAGTATCAAATGCTGCTTTGGAAATGCTTCCGGAAGAGACCGTAGGGCCTGATTAGGTGCAAAGATGGTGGGCCGCGCGTCGTATCTGAATGAATGGGGTGCGCCTGAGAACCATCTTGAGATGCCAACTTGGTGAAGATTAAATTGTGGGTCTTGTGGTGCCAGTTTTTCTGTGGAAGCTCGTCTGCCTCATGTGACTTTCTTTTCTGATGACTCAAGCACAGGTGCGCATTTTCCTGGATGGAATCCTTCTTTGGTATTTAAAAGGTAGATTCTCCTTCTATGAGTACATTATTTATGATTAATCATAGAGGAAAATCCACGTTTTCAGTATCAAATGCTGCTTTGAAAACCTCGGAGGACGTGAAGTCGCCATGGAAGAAGGGATGCCATCTGTACCCCTCTCGGGTACAGGACGGACAGATACAGAATTGTACTTTGTGTGAAATACGCCGTCAGCTTCTCTGCTGTTTGCTCACTGCCCTGGGCGCGTGCATAATGTGTTGTTACAAGGCTATGTTCTCAGTATTGCCTCATTGACCTTGAACGAAGTTTGTTCTCTGTGTGTTTACCATGATTGCTATGCATTTTCTGGAATGAACCTCTTTTTCTGTGACTAGTTGTACCTTAGAGAATACCTGGGTGGGCTGTCAATTTCAGGAAGGAGCCCTGCTTCAGGGGCTATGGAAGGAATAGACTTACGATTCACCCGCAGGCCTGCACTTCACACCTTGGTGTGCTGCCCTCACCATGCACATCCCATCTGTGTCTCTCAGGCTTGCTCCTGGAGCTGGTGGCAACTTAGTCACAGTGAAAATGGCCTTCTGTCACTGCCATCATTTGCTGCCTGAAGAGAGGTAATCCTCCCTGCTTTTGGTTTACTTGCAATGATTATACAAAGGCAGACTCTCTAGGGAGCAAATCCTGCCTGGGAAGCCTTCTTGGCAACAAGGCTGACTCCAGCAATCTGTCAGATGGCCAGGATAGCCCTGGGGTGTGGATGGTTGACCACAAGGCACGTGCCTCTGTCTTGCTGTTTGTGACCTGGTTCTCTGACCCTCTTCATCTCATGCGTCCTTCCGAGAACATTCTGGAAGAGATGCTGGCTTTGGAGATGATATAAGGTTTTTTTTTCAGAGCACCTGTTCTGCTTAGAAAAAAAGGGCCTCCCTTGGCCGGGCATGGTGGTTCACGCTTGTAATCCCAGCCCTTTGGGAAGCTGAGACGGTGGATGGCTTAAGCCCAGGAGTTCAAAACTAGCTTGGGCAACTGGGCAAAAACCCGTCTCTGCAAAAAATACAAAAATTAGCTGGGCGTCATGGTGTGTGCCTGTGGTCCCAGTACTTAGGAGGCTGAGGCTGGAGGATCACTTGAGCCTGGGAGTTGGGAGATTGCAGTGAGCCAAGATCGTGCCACTGCACTTCAGTCTGGCTGAAAGAGACCCCTGTCTCAAAAAAATAAGTTTAAAAACAAAAAAAGAAAGAACAAAGGGCCTCCCTGGATGGGCCCTGCTCATCACAAAGCATCCATGGGCTGCTACTCCGGCAGGTCTGCCCAGCATGATGCCAGCCTCTGGGAAGAGGTCTTCTGGTCAATGCATCTCCCCGATACATGAAAGAATGACTGTCAGCAAAGTCAATGTCTAATGTAGACGTGGGTCATCTGGTCCACCCACTCTCCATACCTAGCCCATCCTTAGAGTGACTTTTGGACCTCACTGTCCACTTGAGGGAAGGCTGGTCCACAGGAAGGAGGCTCCAGAGCACCCAGTGTGGCTACGGCACTTGCTACTGGGACCTCTAAGCCCCACTGCTCTCTTAGTCCATAGGCGTCCTTTGGGGATTCTTGCCAATGGGAAGACCCTTGGATTCCTGATGTTAGTATCTGTTTATTCAGAGAGAGTTGGCCCATGAGAATCTCATTTTCCTTTGATGAATCTTGCCAATACTTTTGAGTAACAACTAGATGAATACTTTTGAGTAACAACTAACTGCTCAGATAGCTTTCTGAGTACAATGCCAAATTCAGGAGAAGGGACACTTGTCATAGTGCTGCTTTGTGATTTGCAAATGGAATGTGCTGGATTTCTGTTTCTCTTTTTTCTTTAATGATGCATGTTACTGCATCTTCTAACCTCCCTTAGCCAGTGTTCACCAGGAGGGCTTCCTGGAGGCAGTGGCTTTGGGCAGAGGCAGAGGTTCTTCTCCCAGGGTATTTTTGCAGGCCCTAAAGGGATTTCAGTCGTTTTACATTTACATTATTTCAAATGGTACAGGATTGCCTGTCTTTTGGTAACCAATCCTGTCTTGAAGAGATGCTGGGAAGTAAAGTCAACTGCATGGCAGGCCCAACTCCAGGGACAGCCAGATGAGGCTTGTCACCTGGCCCCTCCCACTTGGTCTCAGGCCTCGAAGGAGGAGATGTCCACTCCAGCAAAGACCTGGCGTGATCCTCACCTGCTCTTCGAGCTGCTCTTTGGTACTTGAAGAGAGGATACCCTTTGTATGTTCACTTGATTAATGGTGAATATACAGGGGGAGACTCTTATTTGCGTATCAAACTCTGTCGGGGAAGACGCTCAGACCCTGCTGTCTCCAGGACAAAGCCGCGGATGTCAGCCCGTCTCAGGTACGGCCTGGCTTCCCTGTCTGGGAACGTGAGCTTGGCTGTGATCTTGGCCCTTGGGTTCTGCCTTTGCCCTCTGTGCTGGTTCTTCCTGTGGACTCCCTGGAGGCAGCGGGAGAGGAGGGTCCTTTTTGTGTGCACTGAGTTTAATGGTGGTTTGCTTTTTTAAGGATAAATCACACAGATCTGCCTCTTCTCCATACCAAGTCATACCCAGAAGGCTTCCTGCTTCCGGCACTAACCTCACACCTCTCTGGACACATGAATGGGTGGTGGAGGGTGGAGCACGGAGCCGATGCTGCTGCTCACCTGCTACTCCCCTGACCTGCTACTCCCTGGTGGGCTTCGTCCTTGAGAGAGTGTCAGCCTTGAGGGAAGCACATGGATGTCAGGCTGTTCTAAGGCAAGTGACTGGTGGAGCTCCCTGAGCCTGCCTGTGCCCTCTGGGACTGTTGCTGGACTCCAATGGCCAGTCCTCGGAGCACATTGCCCAGTGGATTGCATCTGAGTGGGCCTTGGGCAGGTGTGTCTGGTCTTCAGGACTCCTTTGTCCCCAGTGTCTGATGCTGGGGCCCTCTTTTTGTTTGTTTTGAGGCAGGTGCAGGTGACACATTCTTGGATCTGGTCATCTCTAGGACAGCCAGCCTCAGAGGAGGGACAGTGTCTCAGCACTCTCCAGCTCTGAGAATGCCTGCAGATGCCCTCTTCTCTGATGAGTCCACGTCTTCCAGGGCTGAGCCCTCACACCCCATGCCCCTTTGGAGAAAGGTGATGGTTCCATTGTCCATGTAGCTCGTGGGTGTTTGAAGCAGGTTCACCCATGCGTGCTGAGTACATTGATAGTCATGCCCACCTGTTCTGTTGTTTAGAAGCCAATCTTGCTGCAGGGAGTCCTGGATGTGCCACCTTTCAGGGCCATGCCACCACCTGCAAGGTGCAGGCCCAGCTCCAGGGTCAGCCAGGTGAGGCTTGTCACCTGGCCCCTCCCCTTTGGTCTCAGGCCTCACAGGAGGAGATGTCCACTCCAGCGAAGACCTGGCGTGATCCTCACCTGCTCTTCGAGCTGCTCTTTGGTACTTGAAGAGAGGATACCCTTTGTATGTTCACTTGATTAATGGTGAATATACAGGGGGAGACTCTTATTTGCGTATCAAACTCTGTCGGGGAAGGCGCTCGGACCCTGCTGTCTCCGGGACAAAGCCGCGGATGTCAGCCCGTCTCAGGTACGGCCTGGCTTTCCTGTCTGGGAATGTGAGCTTGGCTGTGATCTTGGCCCTTGGGTTCTGCCTTTGCCCTCTGTGCTGGTTCTTCCTGTGGACTCCCTGGAGGCAGTGGAAGAGGGGGGTCCTTTTTGTGTGCACTGAGTTTAATGGTGGTTTGCTTTTTTAAGGATAAATCACACATCGATCTGACTCTTTTTGGTACCAAGTCATACCCAGAAGGCTTCCTGTTCCCAGCATCAGCCTTATAAGGGAGACCTGGATGTTGCATCATTTCAAGGGGAACACAGACAGGAGGGATGCTGGAGCATGGAGCACTGGCTCTGTCTGTGCTGGTTTCCAGCCTGGTAGGCCAGCCCAGGAGTGCTTCCTAGAGGTGGTATTGACCTTGGGGAAGGGTCTGAGGTGTGCTCATCAGTGTTTTTTGTTTTTTGTTTTTGGATGCTTGGGTGTTCACGATCCAGCTTGCAGTGCCCAGGCTGAATCTGCAAGAGTGGTTTGTTTCTATTTGTCGTTTGTGATTGCCCATGAAGGCCGCTCTGGGGATGAGCCGTGGGAGCCGTCAGCCCCGCACCAGGTGCGTGAATGTGGGACGTCAGAGGGCGCCTGCTTCTGCCTCCATGTCTGTGCCCCGCCTCTGACTGCTGGCTTTCTGCTCACACCTAGGATGGCGGCCTGAGAATGGGACTCTCGTTCTGTGTTTGTGGAGACACTCCTTGGGCCGTGTGACTGCCAGCTTTTTATACTCCGACTGCCATAGGGGGTCACGTGGACCCGAAGCCAGCTTCAGGAAGGGCATTCGCCGCATCCTCAGCCCAAGGAAAGTGAACGTCCTGGTGAAGAGAGGTGAGCGCCAGCCTGGGTAATGAGTCACACAACCTGCCACCTAGACTGGCAGCTCCTGCTCCTCTCTCCTTGAGGGAGAGGCACTGTGGGGAATGGGCTGTGGGTGTGCTTCCTAAGTTACTCGGGGGCATGGGGGTTTGACTACTGTTGACCATGAGCTCTTTCTTAGCCCGGCTTCATGGACACGATGCCAGCCTCTGGCAGGGATGGGGCAAGGGCTGGCATGGAGAATGACACTGGTGTTAATGGCTCTGTGAGATGGATGAAGGAATGGTGACCACAGGGCCTTTGCTTTGTCTAAGGTGTAAATTCATCCAGTGCCTGGGACCTCGGTGCTGAGTGCATCCTTAGGAAGACTTCCTGGAGAGGTGCCCACACTGGGAAGGAGATGGTGGTCCCAGCCCAGGGAGTTCCTGTAGAAAGGGAGAAGCTGAGCCCTGTGTGTGCCCAGGAAGGCCCGTGGGGTGGATCTCCTTTTCAGGAACAAGTCCTAATCTGGAGTGATGCCTGGAAATGAGGCTGATTCCGGTGAAGGGGTGCTGGCGTCTGCCCCTTCCCGGTTTCTTTGGGATGGAGAGCTGACCTATGGGCACACGGCTGGCAGGTGGTGTTTGCCACCTGGTCTGCTGATCCCGCGTCTCCCACCCCCTCCTCCCCCAGGATGAACCCCGGGAGACGAGGCCGGCCCTGTGAATGATAGTGAGGAACCTGCCCAGTGCTATTGTTTGGTACTTAAAGCGAGGTTGCCCTTTGTATATTCGGTTTATTGACATGGAATATACAAGGGCAAGCTCTCTGTGAGTATCAAACCTTGTCTTGGACCCAGTCCACACTCAGCAAGGGATGCGGTATGTGTGTGCATGACCGTGTGTATCCGTTTTGTGTGTGGCAAATTGCTCACGGGTCCCCACTTCACAGAGAGGACTTCACGGGCACATGGATGACTTTAGGGAAGGCAGTGGCCTCTGGGACATCCCCTCTCCTGGTGCAGTGTGGGCGGGGCCAAAAGCATGCACGATGTGTGTGGTCTGGGTCCCTGCTTCCTGAGCGGGCAGTCACCAGCCCGGGCTGATGGCTGGGGTGGCGCTGGTGCGGGGCAGTGGCTTTGTGGTCCCTGCTGTTACTCGGTACGTGAGTGTGCATGTTCTGCTTGGGGTATGTGACCTGGTCCACTAACCCTCAGCATCTAATTCATCCCCAGGACCGCGCCTTGAAGACGTACCAAGTCCACCCAAGGCAGTGGCTTTCTTTTCCGTGCTATAACCTTTGGTACTTGGAGAGTGGTTATCCCTGTCCTGTTCGTTTTGCTCATGTCGAATCGTACAGGGTCATCCACTTTTTCAGTATCAAGAGCGCAGACTCTGGAGCTCGATTTCCTGTGTTTGGATCCCACCTCTGACATTTACTAACCGTCCAACTTTGGGCAAGGATCTCATCGTGCCGTGCCCGTGGTCTCACATGTCAAATGGGAATCCCATCGGTGTCTACTTCGTGGGCTGCTGGGGCTGAATGAGTTAAGACTTGTACACGGCTCAGAGCAGAGCCCGGTGGTCAGCACTTCGTAGGTGGTAGCCAGGACCCTTGTGTGCTGTGAAACTATCACTGGGGATGGTGGTGGTGGTCTTATGACTAAAATCTCTCCGTGGGTTTTTGGAACAATGTCAAGACATGGAAGTCAAGTCCTTTGTCGGGTATGGAACGGACTATGAAGCCCAGAGCACACACGGTGTTTACAGTGGGGGCTAGTGACAGTGTTGATGCTTGGCAGCTAAGCCATTCTCACGATGCTTTCGAAACACAATGCCACATGCAGTGGGGGTCAGCAGGGGTGCCGAGAACATTTGCTACACTTAAGAGAGACAGTCCCTGGATTCTTGACCTCAGCCACTATCCACACTTTGAAGCAAACTCTTGAGCGAGAACACCAAGCCGAGTGAGAATTCTATGGCATCTTGCTTCCCTGGTGCTTAAAGAGAGGTCAAACGTGGTGCATGCATTGTGCATGCCTGTATGTGCGTGGTGTGTGTGCATGAGCGCGTGCGTGACTGGGTTTGCCAGGTAGCAATCACCATCCAACCTTGAGCTAAAGACCTGGAGGTGGTGGTGTTCCTGTCCGTGCTGCTGTTTCATACTTGAGGAGAAATTATCCTTGGTGTGTTCGCTTTATTTATGATGAATCATACAAGGACAATTTCTTTTTGAGTATCAAATCCTGCTTCGGCAGACTTCCTGGATGCCACGACAAGTTCTGTAAAGGGATGCACGCATCAGCCCTTCCCAGGGGGCTCATGCCTGGGTGGGGATGAGGGTGCATGCAGTTGGTTTGTGGTGGGGACACTTGTGCCCTAACCTCAGAACCCTGGAGGCGGGGCCATGCTTGGCAAGGGGCCATGGGACTCCTTGGTGCTGCCAAGGATTTGCATTGGCCATGGGTGTGTGTTGTGGGTGACCCAGCATTCAAGCGACTTATCAAATCCTGCCTCTTGGAGGCACTTCTTGGACATGAAGCAAACCTTAGAGACAGATCACTGGGGCCAGACCCCTTTCCCTGCCCGAGAGTGTGACCCCCAAGGCATGGGCTTGACTCTCAATGTGTGAAGCTGACCTGCTAATCCTCATTGTTTGGACTACCTGAGAAGAACCTTCTGGAAGAGACACCAACTTTGGAGAGGATGCCCAGCTCTTCTTGATGGCACAGTTCTTTGGTGCTTAAAGAATGGCTGTCCGTAGTATGGTCTCTATATTTATGATGATTAATATCGGACAACCATTGTTTTAGTATCCAAATTTGCTTCAGAAGTTTTCGAAAGCACAGTGCTGACTTCAGCGAGGGGACATCCGTGCCTGCCCCACCATGGAGTGTGACTGTGTCATTGATTTATAATAATGAATCCAGTGATCTCAGAAGGCAAGCCACCAGTGCGATTTCCTTGGACAAATGCTAGCTTTGGGGTGGAGATGCCATTAGGGGTTTGGTGCCATACTGTTTTATTGGAAGATGTTCACAATTATTTCATCCCTCTTTCTCTTCTTGTTATTTAATCTTAACTACGAGGAATTCCTTGGAGAGATGCCAGGGTCAAGCATCTCTCTAGATAGATGGTGGACCGGGGCATCTGGGTCCAGCCTCTCCTATCTTTAGCCTCCATTCTGAGCACGAAAACCTTCCTGTAGGGAATGCAAACATTAGGAAAAACTCAGTACATTTCCTGTTACTACTACTGCTTTTTGGCAGCTCCTAAGCAGCTGTCTATTGGGTGTTTGGATTATTCTTGGTGGGCGTGGCATGGCTTTGTGTCTTCCTTGGGAACCACCCCATCTCAGACAGACTCTCATGGAATAAGACGTTGTGTTCGACAGCACCTCTGGGGGGGGTGTGTGTGTGCGTGTGTGTGTGTGCGCGCGCGCATATGAATTGTTGGCTAGAGTAGTGTTTCTCAAACTCTAAAAATGCTCCTAAGATTTTCATCACCTAGGGATCTTGTTAAAAAGCAGATTCTGATTCAGGGACCAAGATTCTGCATTTTTAGCAAGTTCTCAAGTGATGCTAATGCCGCCGGTCTGTGGACAACACGTGCAGCGGTTCAGGGCTGGAGACCAGGTGCTTTCCCTGTGATGTGCGTCCTCTGTCTCCCCACATGCCATAAACTGTCCGTCGTGGGAGAACGGCCCAGAAGCAATGTGCCATGCTTTGGTTTGTGAACAAGCGTTCACCTTCACATGCATAAATATCACAAGATTACTTTTCTTTAAATCAAATCATGCCTCAAAGGGCTTCCCAGATGCAAGACCTGCTTCAGGGAGGGGCCGCCGGTGTCAAGCTGCTGCAAGATTGTCGGGTGGGGGTCAACGGCATGCTTATTCATTATTGATGTCCTGGGCTCTGGAATTCTGTGACCCTTCGTTTCCAAGCAGTCCTCGGGAGGAACTTCCAGGAACTGAGACCATCTCTGCGGTAGGGACCCTGTCTTCAGGGATCAGTGGCACCCCGTTTTGTTGGAAGCAGAATTCTTCACGATGGCTTTGCTTATCTCTGACATGCATTCTGGTGGCTTCTCGTCATCAAATCCTGTCTGTCAGGAATCCCTGGAGGAAGCTTTTCTAGATCTTTAATGGAACCTGCCTTAGAAGTCTTTCTGAGCATGGTCCCAATGTCAGGGTTTGGACTTTGGTGCCAGGGCTGCCTGGGCCCTGAGACGAAGGTACGGGAATGGAAGGTTGATGCCAGCATGTGTGCTTTCTCTGCAGGATGTGAACACCTCTCCCTGCCCCCGCTGCAACCCTGGGATTCAGCTCATCCTGAGAAGAATCTTCTGGAAGCAAAGACAACGGTGGGGAAGAGGCCATGGTTTTCGTTTCAGAACTATTCAAGGATATTTGAGGAGAGGTTATCCGTGTTATGTTCGCTTCATTCATCATGAATAATACATGGTTAACCTCTTTTTGAATATCAGACTCTGCCTCGGAGGGCCGCCCCCACGGGAGACGTGAGAGTGTGTGCCTTGTGTGAGCTGAGAGCCCGCACCCCGGCTCTGTGCTGTGTGAGGGAGGCCTCCTGAAAATGAGGCCGGTGGGGGGAAGAGCCCTGGATTGCTTTGCTGTGTTTGCTGTGAATGCGATGTGTTTTTACGAGTTATGTGAGGTTCCCTCCTCTTTGAATGCCAACCTCTGCCTTCCCCCAGTGCTGGGGCCTGTGGCTTAGCCACAGGGCTAGGTCCTTTCCTGGGACAGACCCTCTGGACCCAGTGCTTTTCAGGGTGGCTCCCTGGGGGCGAGGACAAGGTCTACCACTGCCCTGGGACACTTGAGGAGAAGTTACTTCTTCCATGCGGACTCCTCTGAGGACAGCCTGTTTTTTTAGGGTCGGATCTGGCCCAGGGTGGCTCCCTGGATGAAGTCCAGTGCCTCTGTGGGTGTGTGAAGGGCAGGGTGACTTGGGCTCTGTTCCTACTCCTCACCCAGGTCACTGGCCCAATGCCACTTCCTCCTCAGGTCAGCTTCCCTGAGGCTCTGCCAGCCGACCTGGTGGGATCTCCTGGTCCACTGCTTGGCACTCAAAGATGCTGGCATGGTGTCAGGTTCCCTTCGCTGCCTCCTGATGGAGACCACGCAGCTAATGACTCTTTGGCTCTGTGATGCTGCCTCAGAGGGCTTCCTGCACGTAGCACCTAGTTTGGGAGGAGCGCACGGACTCCAGCATGGCCCCTGGTTATGGAGAAGGGAGGCTGTCCTTGATCCCCGGTTTGGCTGTGCCTCCACCCAGATCTCATTTTGAGTTCCTTCGTGTTGTGGGAGGGTCCTGGTGGGAGGTGACGGAGTCATGGGAGTGAGTCTTTCCCCTGCTGTTCTCAGGATAGTGAACGGGTCTCACGAGAGCTGATGGTTTCGTAAGGCGGAGTTTCCTGCACAACGTCTCTGTTTGCTGCTGCCATCCACGTAAGACCTGACTTGCTTCTCCTTGCCTTCCACCATGACTGTGAGGCTTCCCCAGCCACGTGGAACTGTAAGTCCAATCAAACCTCTTTCTTTTGCACATTGCCTAGTCTTGGATATGTCTTTATCAGCAGCCTGAAAATGGACTAATACAGTGGAGGACGGTGGCACCGAGCCCCGCCCCCTTCAGGGTGTGGTCCCTGTGCAGGGCAGCATCCTGGAGTGGCTGCAAAGCCCCACTGCTCTCTGCCTCGATGCTTTGTCTTATCTGAGGCGGCCAGTGCGCGGGGGTCCCTGTGTGGAGTCAGTTCGTATGGGTGCCTGCGGGTGCCAGCTTCATAGTAAGAAAACTGTCGGCTTCGCCTGAGGTGTGTGCACAGAGGTGACGCAGGGACAGGAACTCTGTTGATGAATGTGTTCCCTGCGCCGCTAACCCGGAGAATTCGTTCCACCCTCAGGAGAAGCCCTAAAAGTGATGGAGGCTCTGGCCGGGGGATGCCGACGCGCTGTGAATGTCGCGGCATGGGGCTTGGTGAGGAACCGCCGGAGCGCTCTTGCATTTTTCATGACAAAGACCACACCGTTGGCCTCATTCCTGCATGGTGGGAGAATGTGTGGAGGTGTCCCGCCGCCAGAGAGGAGGCCTGTGTCAGCACCGTCACGAGGTACCTGGGGAAGGGTCTGTTGACGATGCCCAGTGTTCGCTGGCCCAAGCAACCAGTCCTTGGGGGACTTCTGGGCAAGACCGTTTCAGTGCTCAGCCCCACTCTGTGTCCCAGGCAGAGAAGGGGCTGAATTGATGATACCTATTAAATGGCTCATTCATTCTCATTACCCATGCAGCCTGCCCGTGAGGGCCCCCCAGAAGGGAGGGCAACTCCAGGGAAATGTTCTCGCCATCAGCACGAGGCCATGGTCCAGGAGGTACTGCTGGACCAGAGGCCACAGGGCAGATTGTCAGGCCAGGTCACAGGCTTTCTCTGTCCTTGACCCTCAGCATCCAGGCTACCTACAAGAGGAGGCAGGGGGACTCCTCTGCCACACCTGGAGAGGTCTCATCCATGGCAGGTTCCTTCTACAATGCTTTCTCTGCTACAAATGCAACTCAGCATCACCTCTTTCCTGGATATAATTCCAAGGAATTATTAAAGGAGGCATTGGTGTCAGCACCTCCCAAAATACTTGTAAAGATGGCCCATGGCAGAGCCTGTGCCTTCATTAGAAGTAAGCCTCACACACAGTGGCCTCCAGGCTCTGGAGGCCTCGGGGGCAGAGCAGCGTCCAGGGTGGCTGTGGGGCCTCGCCTGGGTTTGTGGCTCATCATATTGGACCGCTGTTTTTCAGGACAGACTCCCTGGAGAGGTCCCTCAGCAGGACCCTGACCTGGGGGTCAGGGCACTGTCCATGATAGGGGAATGGATGGTTGATCAGAGAACGTACATTTTATAAATGGTGTATGTCAATTGATCCACAGTTCCTACCTATCCAGTGACTTCTCCTGGAGGCCACATCAGCTCAGAAGAAGAGGTGGTGGTTTCCTAGGCCATGCTGTTATCTGGCACTTGAATGGACCTTCTCCTTGCCGGGTTTGTTTTTTTTGTGCCGAGTCTCGTGAGGGAGGGTTGGTGCCTTTTTTGAGTATGGATATTGCCGGGGAAGCTTTCTGGAAGGATCTATTGCCCTTCATCCCTCTTCAGGGGCAGGAATGCATGGTTGACTGGAAAGCATGGGCTTGATTGACATTGTGCACCCCTCAACTCTCCTAACCCTCTGTCCCCAATTCATCCTCAGGCAGACTAGCTAGAAGGAAGGTGGACTCTGGTGAAGACGTGGGCCATTAGCGTCAGCCTTCGGTACTTGAAGAGTGGTTATCCCTGCTGTGTTCGCTTTATTTATGACGAATCATACAGGGACATCCAATTTTTCAGTATCAAATACTGCTTTGGAGGGCTTCCCGGACAGCGTCCCGCCCTCAGGCAGGAAGTGTTGGCTTCCTTCACCTCCCACCCAAGGTATGTATGTGAGCAGGCCATCGCAGGACACGAGCTTCCTCACGTGCCACAGCCATGACCAGAATCGAATCTCTGAGGAGATGGCTGCTTCCAAGGCTGTGATTTTCTGGAAGGGGCTTTGGTGTCTGCACTACATTACTGGGGGAGGTCGACCAGTGAGAAGCCCATTCACACAAGACGTCTGTCACCTGCTCCAAGTGACCCTCACCCTTGGTAAGATGAATCCCTGGAGACATGCTGGCTTGGTAGTGTTATTGTCATCAGCCGGACTGACTGATAGGTAATTGGTCATCATTATTGCTTTTGTTCCAGGGCAGAATTTTTGAGTGTCAAATCTTGCCGGGGAAGGGTTTCTGGAAGTAGCTCTGCCCTCTGGGGAAACTTGGCATCCACATCTTTTAGAGTTTGTGGAGAGTTAGTTGAGTAGTCTGAGCTTTATTTCTGAGGCGTCTCCCTCAGCTCACTCTCCTGCCAGAGCTGTGTCCTGCCCATGGCCATAATGGCTGTTGAGAGGGTTGGTGGCTTTGGCCACCATGATTTTATTTATCAGGTTTTCTCTTTTTAAAAAATCAGGTTCTTTTGTTTTTAGCATAACTACATGGTTCATGAACTGATCAAATAACAAGGAATGACTTGGTCAATCCATAAACAGTGATGGAGTGCACACTCTATTCTTGGTGATTCTGGACCTTAGCATAGAGCAGAGAACGAAATCAAGTTCTTGCTCACGTGGACTTTCCATTCTGGTGGAAGAGATGGATGAGAACACATGAATTAGGAAGTGTAATTTTGTCCACTGCTAGGTTTCATGGAGAAAGGGAAAGCAGGTTACAGTGACAGAGGTAAAAGCAGGTGGACCTTTGTGTTAAATACAGGGGTCTGGAGAGCTGTCTCTGAGGATGTGGATGGGAATGGAGTGGGCTGGACCAGAGGAAGATCTGGGGTAGGAGCATTTCAGGAGGAGGGCAAGGCCCATGGAAAGCCCCCTGACATCTTTAAGAAAAAGCAAGAAGGCCAGTGGGATTGAACCGAGCTGCTGGGAGTCACTGGGTCTGAGCTGGGAGAGGCAGGACTCCAGGTTTTATTCTGAGTGAGATGGGGGATTTGGAAGGGTTGTGAGCAGGGGGGATGCATGGTCTGTGTTGGAAAGATCACTCTGACCACAAGGGCATTGATAGAGAATCCACCCAGGGCAGTGATGGGGCACCCACCAGGGGGCTGGTGTGTCTGAGCTGGGCAGTTTCTCCAGGGGCACCTGCAGTGGCAAAAGGGGGCTCTCTCTGGACCTCCCCCGTTCAGTGGGCCCTGCGGGAGCTTGGCTGGCACCTTGACTTGCTTGATGGATAACTCAGTGTGCTCTGTTGAGAAGTCCAAGGCCCTGTTCAGAAACCCTGGGGTCTACACACTGTGGAGCGCTCCTGGCCTGCGACAAGTGGCCTCCCTCTTCTCATTTCTAAACCTTGTGCGTGTGGATTCAGGACCAAAATTTCGACTCCAGGGAAGGGGGCCTGTGCCAGCACCACTCCAGGGGAGGTGAGTGGAGGGTTGCCCAAACTGCAGGGTGTTCCTAGAACACCTGTCAGCTGCCTCACTAATGCTCGGTGTCCACTCTGTCCACAGGATGGTGGCTGGCAGCCACTCCCCTTGGAGAAGTGGAAGGGGACTCCTTGTCTGTCTTGTCTCTGCTTTTCTGTGGTACTTGAAGAGAAGTTGTTCGTGGTGGATTCGCTTTACTTATGACGAATCATTCACGGACAACACTTTTTTCAGTACCAAATGCTACCTCTAAGGACTTCCTGGACACAATGGCAGCTTCAGGAAACATAGTCTTTGAGTCAACCATGTGGAAAAGCCAAGAATGGATGGCGGGCCATGGACAGTGCGCTGACCTAGCTGTAAGTCACCTGGCCTGATAACTCGAGCGTCCTATGCACCTATAAGAGGCCTTCCTGTGGGTCTCACCAGCTCTGGGGAATCAGCTGTGGTTCTGTCACCAGCGTCACCTCACGAGGCTTTGAAGAGAGGCTCCCTGGGCCCCAGGCCGACTTCCAGAAGAGATGTTGGTGTCAGCACCGTCCAGGGTGTGTGACTGGTTGACCAGAGGGGCGTGCACTGTGTTCACCCTGTGGGCCACCTAGTCACCAACCCTCAGCATCACTCCCACCCCAGGAAGACTTTCCAGAGCTCCCACCAAGTCTGGGGGAGTGGCCATGGACTTGCTGTGACTGCTTGGTGGACCGGGATGACACGTACTCTTGGGGGTGTGTGTTTACTTAAAATGCAATGAGTCAACCTTGGTGGCTCCTTCACCCAGTCACAGCCTCCTTGAAGTGTTGACTTCCGATGTTGGACGCCACATTGTCTACTGTTGAGGGACCTGATGCAGGCCAGTTTTTCTCCTGGGTGTGTGACTGAATCCTTCTTCCCAGAGCATGTGCTGCGTTTATTAGGGCTGTCACCTTGTCCTCTAATACCCAGCATCCTGTCTCTCCCTAGAAGGCTCCATGGAGGTGCTGCGGCTTTGGGAAACAGCCGTGATTCTCCTGTCAGGAACAAGTGAGCTACACAGAAGCTCCCTGTCTTGCCCAGGAGGACGAACTGCATCGTTGCTGCTGGGGAGAAGGCAGTGCCCTCAGCACTCCCCTAAGGTAAGTGCGCCTCGGGTGAGCATGCACTTAATGTGGGTGTATGTCACTCGGCTCGGCCCACTACCCAACGCTATCCCACCCATTCCTAACAGGACTCCCGAGAGGGGCGGCCACCTCTGCAAGAGAGGCAATGGATTACTACTCACCAGTGTTCATGTGTGGTACTTGGAGAGAGGCTGGCCGTGATGAATTCGATTCATCAAAGCGAGTCATACACGGCTCTCCTCTCTTTTAGTGTCAAATTCTGCCTCGGAGGGCTTCCTGAGCTGCTTCCAAGGTAGGTTTCTGGATGGCTGAACCCATGGCAAGCACTTTTCTGAGGATGCATGTGACTGACCTACTAACTTTAGAGTCCAGGCTGACCCTCAAACAACTTCCTGGGGCGCTACCAGCTTTAGGAAAATCGAGAGAGGTTGTTGGGATGCCCTAATGTTTTAGAAGTTAAGATTGAAATACACATGGCTGACTTCTTTTTTCATTCCTATCAAATTCAACCTTGCAGTTGAATCTTGGGCATCTAGAAGCATCTTTAATAGTCAGCCCTCGGGATACAGAAGAGAACAGAAACAGGACTCTGTGTGATCCCTGGTTTACTAACCCACAGCAGCCTCACACCCTCCAGAGAATTCCTTTAAGGGAATCCCAGGTTTACCAAGGAGGCAGTGCTTAGCCTGCTTTTGCAGACACATTTGTGTGTGGTTTGCTTCATTTTTAATGACTCATGTGCCACTGACATCTTTGCATTATTAAGTATTGCCTGCATGGCCAGCTGAGCACAGGAAGTGGTATTTCTGTGCGCACTAATCCTGGGTTGGTGAACCTGGGGTTGGCTGGAGAGCATGGGTTTGAGCCACCTGGTCCACTCATCCTCAGGGTCCCATCCACCCTCAGAGGCCACTCCCAAGCTGCCCAGGCTGTGCAGAAGATGCAGGAATGCTGTGAGCAGTGCCACCTCATGGTACTCGGAGGGAGGTTGTCCGTGGTGAGTTCGCATTATTTAATGATGCCCAATACACGGTCGACCTCTTTTCGGTATCAGATCTCACCAGGTGTCTTCTTGGACCTGATGCTGATTTAGGGGACACCATACTCATGTTGGTTCCACACCAGTGCAACTGAACATGTGTTTGGCCCTGTAACCAATGGGTAGGTGCTGCTAGCACTCCTAATCCTCAGTCAGTGCATTCCTGGGGAAGAAGCATGTGATCTGTGCTCAAGACCCCTCTGTGACTGAGGAAGTGGTGGTGCCCATGTTGCTTCCTGGGTTTTGTATTTTTTCAAAGAAAAATAATATATAGTTCTCTTCTCTTTCACTGTTAAATCTTGTCATGGAGGAAGGACTTCTTAGACATGTTGACAAATTCAGGGAAGGGGCATTGATTTCAGCGTTTTTGGGGACTCACTGGAAGGGTGATTCACCACATCTGTTGATCTGGAGGCCACATCAAATTTAAGAACAGAGGATAGTTGCATTTTCAATTTCTTGTTTTTCTTTTCAAAAAGGATAATTATTCTACCTTATTACCATATTTATAAAAATGACACATGCTTATGATAAAATTTAAGCGATGTGGAAAAATCTAAATGAAAAAGAGGGAAAATTGCCCAATTCTCTGGGCACCCAGAAATAACCATTAAGGGCTTTAGAAATTTCATACACCTGTCTGAGCATACATGCAAACAGAAAAACAAGACAGGCACAGAGAAAATATGAGATCACACTGTACCTAATCATTTTATTAAAAATGCTAACTATAATTTTACTTCAATTTATCATAAAGAACAAGCTAAAGGAGATTGAAATGATTGATAAATATTTCTCGCTTCACCGCCAGAGGTAGCAACTCCTAAAAGATCCCTGTAAAATTAAGAAAAATATTGTTACGGTTTTTAACTATTTCAGTTTCACTCCTAGTTCAGAAAGACAAAGAAGTCAGCACTCTTATTCTTTGCTTATTATCTCCTGCTTTTTCTCAGTTATATATTTTAATTTTACATTATAAATATCTGCAATTTGTTCTAGAACTATAATTCTTGCAAGTGTTTAGCCATAGTTCTATATTTAAATGAATTCATTTCTGACCACAAGGTTGGTTTTTTTGTTTTAACTGAGGTTTTTCCATTCTTTAGTTTTTAACTTTAATTTGTCTCTCAATGGAATTGATCTTATTGTTTCTGTGAGAATAGCTCATAGACACTACCCTTGAGTTCTGGTGCATTTACGAATATGTATCTCTTTCTTTTATGCATAAGGGACAGCTTAGCTAGGTATAAAAGTCTCAGCCTACTTGTTTTTTCTCAGAAATTTATAGCTGTTGTCCACTGTCTTTTGCATTGAGGCTTTCACTAGCTGTCTTAATGTGGCTTCTCCATGTAGCCTTTACTTACCTGGACTATTTTATGTAGTGATCTTCACAAACCTTGTTTAGAAACACTTTGGGATACTATGTTCTGTGAGGTATTTCATCTTTGAGAATGTCTGACCATTGCTCTTACACCTTTTCTCATCTGTCCATTTTTTTTCATTCTGTTCTATTTGGCCTTTAAAGATATGTATTGTATAATTTCTTTCAGCTTTAGGGATACAAGCCCCTTTCTTTGTGGAATCTATTGACTCTCATGATGGTGCTTTTCTTTGTGGTTTTTGTAGCTTTGTGTTGTGAGGTTATCATCAGTTGAGCACTAAGGTGTTTCTGTTTTGTTTCAATCCCTATGTACATGAGTTTGCATTTGGTTCTGCCTGGCACCCCAAGGAATTTACCAGTTGGTGCCAGTTTTCTAACTCATTTTGTTGGCTTACGGATTCCCAGACATATGGTTGGCATAAGTCCTCACCATATCTTTGTCCTGAAGCTTTGGTATCTCACAGGAGACCTCTTTCTATCCACTCCCTAAAAATGACAAATGCTCTTATCATCCCTGGCTATTATAAAAATTTCTGGTTCCCCTTTCCATTCCTAGATCAACTTCTCCTGGACCCACGGTCATGTCTTTTTATTCTGCTTATACTTGAACTTGACTATAGACTCTTGGAGCCTCTAGCCAGCACAGCACCCCTTAGGTCCCTTAGTAGCAGGTTGCAAACATGTTGCTCTGAACTAATTTTTTTCATTAACACCTGAGGGTTTTGCCTTTCAGTTGTATGTTTATTTGGGAATTGATTTTGGCTGTGGTTGCATTTTATCCAACACTTCTCAACATTTTTGGAGGAGAGGGTTCCTTACCAGCGCTTGTTGCTGGGATGGAGCCTTTGAGCTGAATGATGGGTGAACTTGGCATGACATTCTTGGCTCCCAGTTTCTTCCCTCTGAACTTTGTAAACTTTGCTCCATTGCTTTCTGGTATTAAACCACTGCCGTGGACAAGCCTGGGGACAGCTTCTTTCCCCTTGGATGGATGAACTTTTTTTTTCCTGCTTAGATTTCCTGATTCTTTCTTTAGTCTTGAATATTGGTGACTTTACCGGGTTATGACTCAATCGCTATTTTTATTCATTAGTTTTTCTGAATCATAGTATGCCTTCTTGATGAGTAGATTTAATCATTCCTTTGTTTTGAGGATTTATTCACGTTATGAGCACTTTTCTACTCCAGTAGTTGGTCTTTTCTTCGGTGAAATAATCTGTTTTGTTCATTTCATTATGTGCTGGAGGAGAAGAGAGTCTGTCATCTGGCCCCTTGCTGCCATCTCTGTCTGCACATCAGTCTGTTGTCATTTGCACTGTGCATTTGTCTATTTAAAACAATCCTACCCAGATGCCCCCTCCTCAGTGTCACCTTCCACCCTGGCAGGATGCCTTATGGCAATGCCCACTTCTGAGATAGTCGTGGGAGCCAGCCCCACTGGCCAGGTATGTGAATTTTCTGTTAACAATGGAAGATTTTGAAAAACCATATATGCTGTACCATTAACCCCAAGCATACAATCTATCCTTAGGAAGACTTCCTGGAAATTATGCTCACCTTCGGGGATGAGGCCATGATTCTGAGGTCAGTGCCATGCCATGGTCTAATTAAGTTTACATTCAATGCTATTTGTTTCTTTATGATCAATATTGTGAAGTCAACCTCTTTGTCATGGACTCAGCTTTGGAGGACTTCCTGGACACAAGGCCTGTGTAAGGAAAGGATTGTTACTGTCAGCCTCGATGCTAATGTGAGATAAGGGAACGTATCCTGCTCTGATCCAAATGCCGAGTTTCTGTGCACTTGGCCTCTCCACCATCAGGTTCCCTGGAAGTGCTTCTCAGGCGTGCACCCACCTTGGCTAAGGCGTTGAGGTCTGGATGGCTGCAGGGTCCAGGATGGGGTGGTTGAATATGGGGCGTGTGCTTTCTTTTCAACCCTCTTGCAGTCAGTCTGCTAACCCTCAATGTTCACTGTCTCCTAGGGGGACTTCCTGGAGGAGGCCAACTTTGGAGAAGAGGCACTGACACCGGGTCTGTGCTAGCGTGAGGTACTTGAAGATAGGTTATCCGTGTTGCCTTCGCTTTATTTGTGACGAATCATACACGGTTGACCTATTTTTCAGTACCAAATCCCGCCTTGGAGGGCTTCCTGGAGCGGAATCTCACTTCAGGGCAGGACCTTGGTGTCAGCTCCTCTCCAGGGTAAGCAAAGGGACCGTTGACCATAGCTGACCCAGCAGAGAATGTGCTTTCCTGAGGCCGTGTGCCCCGGCCCTAACCCTGTGTGTGCCCCATCCTTGGGGAGGTTTCTAGAGATGGTGCCAGCTTTGGGGAAGAAGTGGGGCTTTTCCTCTCAGAGCTACTCTGTGGTACTGGTGGAGAGGTCTTCCATGATGCCTTCAATGTATTCTTTTACCAATCCTACATAGTGGACCCTTTTGAAAGCATTAAATCTAGCCTTAAAGCACCCTCGGGTGGTGCCGAGTTTAGGAACTAGAACTGGTGTCTGAATGCCTGGACGGATGGCGACGCTGACCGTGTGCACACTTCTTGGTGGACCGTGCACCTGCAGGCGTCCTGCTTGCTCACCACGGCGGTTTCCTCCAAAGAGGCAGCAGCTCCCTTGTCAGCTCACTTTGTGTTTGACAAGACGCCGTTTTGCTGTCTTCCCTGCTGCCCTCTCTTCACGTATCACAGAAGGTGCTCTGCAGACCCCTCTGCTGTGGCACGTCCCTCCCTGAATGGCTTCCTACAAGAGACGCTAACTGCAAGTAAGGGATGGAGTACGGCCCAGACCACAGAGTGTGTTTCATGGGTAGTCTGTTGCCACCTTCCTGACTCTCGGAATCCCGTCCGTCCTCAGGCCTGCTGCTGGGATGCGCTGGAAGTGAGCGCCCGAGTCAGGTACTCGAATGGAGGTTGTCCATGGTGTGTTCATTTTATTTATGATGAGTATTACATGGCCAATCTCCTTTCGGTACTCAATTCTTCTTGGGAAACGTCACGAGGGGCAAGCCCAGCCGGCACCTGCTCAGGGTAAGGAAGTGGATCACCTCCGCGGCAGGCGCTCTCTGTGTGACTTACATCACTTGGCCCAGCATCCCGGCCATCATTAGGAGGAATTCACCGAAATGATGCTGACGTTTTAGTTGACATGGTGGTCTTCTAGTCGCGTCCTTGAAGACTCATTAGTGAATAAACCACATTTAGTCAACCTTTTTAGGTGTGAAATCATCTTGGCTGTGTGGCACACTTTAGGGAAAGGAGCTCCTGGCTGAATGGAAGACATTCACATTACCCCCTCAAATACCTTATCTTCGGGGTGACCCCTGGGAAGCAAGGGGTGGAGGGGGTCTCCTCGGCAGGGATAATTGATGTTGTTTAAAGACGCGTTTCCATGGCATGACTCGGTTATTCCTACTGCAAGATGAAAATCATTAATAGCATTTATTACTATCTTATGTCGCCAGCTGTGTGCCCTTGGAAAATCCCTTCACCTGTCAGCTCTGTGGGCCTCAGTCTCTTTCTCTGTAAAGCAGGGTTAACAGGGGAGTGGAAGCGTGCTCTTTGTGAAGTGTCTAGACAGCATGTGGCATGTGGCTGTAGGATAAGCATTGTTTCTGAGGGTGGTCCTTATATGAATGTTATGTCATCTGCACTCGTTGTCCTCTCACCGCTAGAATGGAAGCTCCTTGAGGGCAGAGTCCTTGTTTGTCTTGCCTGGTGCTGTGTCCCCAGGTGTGCACAGTAGGTGTGATGCTGAATGAATGAATAGGCGACATGACCTGTTTTCTTGGTTGAATTCTCTTTGAGGCCTCCTGGAATGGAGTGCATGGAGGACAGTCACCTGAACCTGTGCTGTCCCTGTGACACAGCCCCACCCACCCTCTGAGGATGCTGCACTGGAAGAGGAGTCGCCAGCCTTCAGGTCAGGTCCTCCCTCAACCCCCTGTGTTGAGGGACCTTGGTGTCCCAGCCCCCCTAGGATAGGTGACCAGGGGCCGACTCGAGCTCGGGCTGACCCACGCTGTGTGTGCACATGGCCTCACCCACACCGCCTGCTCCACAGCTACAGGAGCTGGTCCATGACCAACCGTGTTCCGACCACTGCCTGGGGGGCTCCTCGGAGGTAGAGAAAGAGAGAGAAAGAGAGCAAGAGGGGAGAGAGCGAGCGAGCGAGCCAGCAAGCCTGCAGCTGGAGTCAGCAGGGAGGCCCCGAAGGCAATGCCACCTTTGGTGAAGAGGCATCTCGGTGTGTTCTTGCCTGTGCTGACGTTTGACCCTTGAGCAGAGGTTGCCCTTGGTGAATTCGCTTTATTTATGTTGAATCACACAAAGGCAACTTTTGTTTGAGTATCAAATCCTGCTTGGGATGGCTTCCGGGACCCAGTGGCAAGCTCAGGGGCATCTATGCCCCTCCCTTGAGCAAGAATGGATGGGGTAGACGTGGGTGGTCTGCCCTCTGCAGTCCTCTGTGGTGGATGAGAACAGATGTCGATCAGAGAACACAAGCTTCATTCATGATGGGGGCGGGGCCTGCGGCCCGGGGAGGATGGCGTTGGTGTCACGTCGGCTTTAGCTCTTACCCTGGACCCTCTCTCTTCACATCACCGTGTTGGCTGTGTTGATCCCGAAGACGTTTCGACCGCACCAAGTTTTTTTCGAAAGATATTTGACCTTGCGGATAAACAAAGCGCTCACCCTTGGCAGTGTCTGTGACGAGGCTGCAGCCCCAGACCCCTGTCTCGCTCACAAGTGCTGTGTTTTTTTTCTATGCCTTTCCTTGTCTCTATTTTTCTCTTTCTATCCCCCAGCCAAACATTGGTCCCAATTTTCTCCTGGGTTATGAAACAAATAGAGGCCATCAGTATCTCATCCCATTTGTATTAAATAATAGTGATAAAAATAATCAACACAAAATAAAACTAAAAGCAGCTGAAACGGCACAGCACTAAATGTGTTCAGTTGAGTACAAATTGGCAGAAGAATCCAATTTTCTTGACAACATTTCGGCTGCGACATTTGACCTGGGGAAATAGAAAGCTGCCGACGTGGCAGCCGCAGAAGGAAATTGATGGTGGCGGCGGCGATAAACAGCAATATTCGATGTAGACAAAAGCACATTGAGGAACCAAATCTTTATTCAGATTTTTAAATGGAAAAGAATTGATCCTAATGAAAATGATTTGGGGAAAATAACAAGGGAAATAAAAGAAATGCAAACAGCTCAACAGCGCAGTCAAGACAGCTAAACAGGGAATTGGATTAGTGTAATGGCATTCGCTCTGAAAAACACGTTTCTATGAAAATCAGTGTCGGTGCAATTCTTGTGAAGATGGTTACATTTGTGTATTTACAGTGGAGTTGCTGGGGTCAGTAGGAATCTAGGGTCAAAAAATGGGATACAGTCTCTTCCCTTATGCAGTTGATCTTTCCTTTCTGCCCCAAACCTTCCCCAGAGCTTCCTGGAAAGGTGTGCTGACTTCAGGTGTGACACACTGCTAAGGCATCCTCCCGGGGATCTGGGTGCATGTTGTCCCCAGAGTATTCACTATGTAACTGACAGGCATCACCTGGTCTCCCTCCATCCCCACGGAGGGTTCTGGGTGAGACGCTGACTCGAGGGAAGCAGAAGTTCTACCATCAGTGGGGTCGGGTCTTTCAGGACAGTTGCTTCTGTGAGCCCAGGAAATCTGAGACAGCTCTCAGTTAATTTAGAAGGTTTATTTTGCCAAGGTTGAGGATACACCCATAACACAGCCTCAGGACGTCCTGTGGTCAAGGCACAGCTTGGCTTTATACATTTTAGGGAGACATGAGACATCATTCAATATACGTAAGAAGTACCTTGGTTTGGCCTGCAAAGGTGGGACGACTTGAAGCGAAGGCAGGAAGACGGAGGGAGTCTCCAGGTCACAGATGGGTGATACACAAACAATTATATTCTTTCGCATTTCTGATGAGCCTTTCCAAAGGAGGCAAATCAGATATGCATCTGTCTCAGTGAGCAGAGCGGTGACTTTGAATGGAATGAGAGGCAGGTTTATCCTGAGCAGTTTCCAGCTTGACCTTTCCTTCGTGATTTTAGGGGCCCGAGATACTTTCCTTTCACACTTCCGAGGCTGTTGCTGAACACACAGGAATCCAGGAACACTCTGAGGTTTAGACCTTCCTCACACTGTGCTGTTGACACCTTACATGGTTCCATGCTGGTCCCAAGGACATGCCCTTCGTTGGTGCTGAATGTCAGTTGGTCATGGAGGCTGAAAGTCATTCTGGAGTTGGTTTCCAAGGTCAGAAACCTTGCCGGGGCTGTGGAAAGAGCGCGTTGTTTGCTGGCGTGCTTTGTCTGTGACCAGCATTGCACATGGCTCTCTTTGCAGATCGAGCCCTACCTGGAGAATTTCCAGAAGCAACAGCACCCTCAAGGGGCAGCCTGCAGCCAGAGCCCTCTCCAGGGTAGGTGCCTGAGGGCCGCCCATGGGACAGGCCCGATTGTACCCATGGTGTGTGTCATCCGCTCCCCTCCTGCCGACTCCAGTGCGTTCCGGGACCACCTTGGGAGGTGATGCCTGCCCTGGGAAGGAGGTTCTGCTGCAGGTCAGTGCCCATGGCTCCTGACGGGAAGTCGTCTGTGACATCTTTTCTTTCTCTACAGCAGGGCCCGCATGGCAGGCCCCTTGCTCCACTTGTAGCAAGATGCAGAGGGCTCTCTGAGCTCATGCCAACGTCAGGGAAAGGATTCTGCTGTCGGTCCCACTCCAAAGTGCATAGAATGGGTGGTGGGCACAGAATCCGGACTCTGCTTGTGGCAGCTGTCGTCCGGCCCGATGCTTGTTGGCTGCCCGCTCCAGGAGGCGCCTTCTGGGTGTTCTCTGAGTCTGGGGAAGGTTGGGTTCTGAGGTCAGGGCTGCCCTGACCCTTGTAAAGAGAAGACGTCTGTGACTCTCCTGCTTTCTTCTGCTGCGTTGATCCCCCCAGTCCCTTATTTTTAACGTCTCACTTGCTTTATGAGGCTAATCAGATGGTCAGCCAGCTGTTGATAACTGTGAAGTCACCCCCTGAGGGATCCTGGGGTGATGCCTCTGTGGGCTGGAGATGGTGCTGGTGAGACCGCGGGTCTGGGGTCAGCGTTGTGCCCTGTTGAGCTCCTGCCAAAGGCATCCTCTGCTGGGAGGGAGGCTCTGTGCTTGTGCAGGGGTCCCTATAGGGTCACCCCCTCTCAGGGTCTGGGAATGAAAAGCGGGTGCGAGCAGCAGGGTTTCATCTTCATCTTTAGCAAGGTGCCCAAGGAAGGCTGCCGTCTTTTCAGTATAAGATCCTACCTGGGTCTTGCACTCACCTTCTGGGAAGAGGCTCCAGAGTCATTCTGGAAGGGGTTGGAATGGTTGGACTTGGCAATTGGGAACGTCCTTGGAGAGTGTGAGACTCTGGTCTCTGAATGTCCAGACCTTGTGCTGCCCTTGGGGGAGGGTCTTCCGCAATCACGGCCGCCTGCAAGCATCCTCCTTAGTTCGAGCATCTGAGCCTCTCCATGGTACTCGGGGAGAGGTTACCCGAGCAACTTTGCATCTGGACGACGAATGTTGCTCGGTGAACCCCTTTTCGGTATCAAATTCCACCAGGGAGGCCGTCTTGGAGGCTGGGGCACCTCGGGGAAGGACGCCAGCATCAGCACCATTCTGGGGTACGGGGATGGATGGTCGACCAGTTGGAAAGTAATTGTTTCTAATGTACTTCACCTGGTCCACTAGCCGTCCGTATCCGCTGCAGCCTGTGGGGCCTGCGGGCCGGGGAGCCGATCGCGCTTCAGCTCAGCGCCTTTCCTGGTACTTGAAGGGAGATCGACCGTGTTATATTCGCTTTATTGACTTCGAATAATACATGGTTGATCTTTTCTCAGTATCAAATCTCACCTTGGAGGACTCGTTGGAGATGAAGCCCTTTGGAGGGTGGGAGCGGGACAGGTGCTTTGGAGTCACGGTCTCAGTGGGGGCCTGGTCACTGAGGGTGGGCCGGGCGGGGTCTCTTTCCTGTCTCTGTGTCTTCTCACCTTTGGTGTCCCATCCATCCTCAGGACAGCTTCCCGGGGGCGATGCTGGCACCACGGGATGCAGCAGCCACGTTCTTGAGCCGATGGCACTCTGGGTACCTGAGGAGAGGTTGTCTGTGATGAGTTCGCTTTTATTAATGACGAATATAACACAGATGGCCTGTTTTCAGTACCGCTACCGCCCAGTGGTGTGCGGGCGCCACGCCTGAGTGGGCCTTTTCAGGGTATGTGAATGCATGGGCTGAGGTGACATTTGTCATCCTTTGCACTGACCCCCGCCATGGAATCATTTTGGGAGAGCTTTCGGGGGGCCATGTGGACTTTGGGGAAGATGCTGGGGTTGTGCACTGGGGTGGGGAGCGGTCATGAAGCTGATGAGCAATGGGTGACGGGGCTCAGTCTGTTTTTCATGGCCAGTGCCACCAAGGCAGAGGACTCGGGGGAGCTAGTCCTGCTGGAAGGCATCCTGCTGGAAGGCCACCTGCCCCTTGCCAGGGTGTTGGGGGCGGCTGCATGCATTCCCTGCACCCGGGCTGCCTTCTGCTCGTCCAGTGCTGTGAGACCCTGGGTGGGAGCCGGTGCCTTGGGTGGCCATGTGTGTGTGCTGCTTCCCACAGTGCCTGAGGAGAGGTGGCCTGTGTTGCATTCACAGAAATCATGACACACAAGACACGATCAGTCTCTCTTCAGTGTCAGATCCTGCCTGCATGATTCCTGCACCTGCTGATGTCGGGGAGGGCCAGATGTGCACCCTGGTGGTCCCCAGCGGCATGGCTGGTGGCCGAGCAAGCGCTTGACTTCCACCTGCAGCCCTATGCTGGCCTCCGCCCTGGAGGCAGGTGGCGGGTGGCAGGGCCCGTCACTGAGGAAGAAGCCTCCTCCCCGGAGTCAGCGCTGCTCAGTGGTACCTGAAATAGGTTGCCTGTGAGGTGTTCACTTTCTATATGATGAATATTATACAGTCAACCTCTTTCCGATATCGAATCCCACCTTGGATGCCTTCCTCTTCGCTGCCGACTCCAGGCAGCAGCTGTCTCTGCGCTGGTTGACCCCATGGACTTTGTGTAGGACCTGTGTCACCTGGCCTGTTAATTTTCTAGCTCCACCCTGTTCTGGAGGGCTTTGGAAGTGTGACAGAATGGCATCCCCGATTCCAGTGTCAGTGGCAGCACCCGCCATGCCCTTGCTTTGGTTGGCACGTCCTCCAGGCTGGGCTGGCCTTCAGCTACCTGATGCTTATGTCATATTTGCACCCCTGGCCTGCCCAGACTACAGGAAGATGACCAGAGGCCTGTTTGCAGCTGACCTGGAGACTTAGTGACTCCAGAATGTGCTGCCCATGCCCAGGGTCCAGGGCCGAAGGCAAGGAGCACCTCAGGAGTGACCCCAAAGAATGAGCTACGACTGCCCTTTACCGCTCATTGTTGATCAGTGAGCTCCTGGGCTCGGGAGGGCTTCGTGAGCCTGGCTCCCATCATCCCTATTGAGACATCACTGCCTTGGAAGTCGCAGCCCTGTGCCTGCCTTCCCTCTTGTGGGCTTCTCCTCAGGACCGCTCCTCTCTGTGCCCAGCATGGGAGTGGGGATCCCCAGCACCGTCCCTCTGGGCTGCTGCTGCCACTCTCCCTCGGCACCCCTGTTCCCCAGCCCCTGGGCCACACCCTGCTGGAGAGGCCGGCCCCACTAGCTAGGCCCCTCTGGCCACTTGGGTCTCCCTCCAGTGCCCCCTCCCTCTGCCAGGGAGAGCATTTGCAAGTGCAGAGTCCAGCTGTTTACCTGCACTGCCCAGAGCACCTCTGCAGGCCCCTTCCCTCGGGCTTGGTGCCAAGATGGTCCGAGGACTCCCCAGGCCCCCGGAGTGGCAGCCCCCCTCTTCTTTTGGAGCCACAGCCTATCCCCCATGTTTCCATCCTTCGTTCTGGCCCTGCACACGCCCCTCCTTCCGGAGCTGAGTCCTGGGCGGCCCTGCTCTGCCCTCGGCTACCTCCTGTCCAGGCTCCAGCCCTTCCTTCCTTAGAGGCCCACATCCTTTGCATTTTCCTTTCCCAGGGGTTCACACTTCCCAAGGGGATGGAATGTCTCTTGTTCAGCAAGGTCGTCCCTGATAACCCTGTAAAAGCAGCTCTTCCCTTGCCTCTTCCCCATCACTTTCTAACAGTTGCCCCGTTACTGTTTTCTTCCTAACTTACAGCTCTCTGAAATTGCCTAATGTTAATGTCTACTTTCTCTGTGTCCTAGGCTGTGAGATCTCTCATTGGCAGAAATTTCTCTCTCTCTCTCTCTTATCCTCTGCTGTGTCCCCAGCACTGAAACAGTAGCAGAACAGGAGTGTTTGTTGACTGACTAATGGAGTCCCCAAAGACAGGGACTGGATCAGGTGAATCCCCAGGCAGGTGCAGGGCACAAAAGCAGGCACTCAATAAGATGTGGTGATGGAGTACATGAATATGTTAATCGAGTTTTAGAAATTCTTCCCATTTGTTCAAAGTTGTTTGGTTTTCCAGCTCTTTCTGCCCTTCCAGGACGAGGCTGAGATTTGTTGCAGGAGGCACAAGTCAGCTGGGTCTGGGTTCTCTCTTCCACTTTCCAGAGGGTAGGGGCACCAAAGCCCCAGAGGAAGTGACAAGCCCCGTGTTCCCCTGCAGATGCTGACTGAGCGCGCCCCCGCCCCTCCAGCAAACGCCCCAGCGTTGAGAGCCAGATGCTCTGGGGAACTCCATCTGCAACGGGCTGGAGCGTGGTGTTAGGGCTCATATTTTATGCATGGGGCTGACTAAATGGGAACATTTGGAGATGAAAATTGCTGTTAATGCATCTACACATCTTTGGAATATATTAAATGTGCGTGTGAGGGGGAGAGTGACATTAGCCTTATTTAATAGCTTCAGTGTAACCATCCCCACACACCGTGGCATTCACAGACACGGGCCCCCCTCCCCGAGCCTCCCAGGCCACCACTCGGGAAGAGTGCTGGGTGCATCACCTGCCACTTGAGAATTACACGTGAGTCCGGCATCAGCCCGGCGTTCGGCAGCGTGCATGTTCCCCGCCCATTTCTAACCCAAACACAGTGACCCTGTGCCAAACTCGATGCAGAATTTCGTTAAAAGCAAAAATGATTGATTTCTCTATTGTTTGCGCAGAAGAAAGAATAAACAAAGGGCCTTTCTCATCAGATAAGCCAAACGAGAACGTGTGCCCCCCAGGTGGCCAGGATGAAGCTTTTCACGGACCCTTCAGCCAGAGGGTCAGTGACTTGTCCCATCTCCAGGGAGGTGTGTAAACCCTGCCGCCGGTCCAGGTTCACGAGGTGTGCTCCTTTCTCCAGCGCAAGGACCCGGTTTATCCCCACTATGTCTCCTGGAGGTGGTTAGGAAATTGAACAACCTGGACCTCCATTCCCATTTCCTTGTTGTTTTCAGCCAGAGATAAGAGGAGAAGTAATAGCTGTCCTAAAGGGGTGCTTGCCTTGGTCCTGGGCCCCATCAGCTGCTGTGAGTGGACAGTTTCTGTTCC